CCAGAATCAGGTAGAATCACATACCCTTGTGTGTGCAATTTTCAGCAATGATCACTTTGCTCCCCCAACCCGCATGAGAAGCTCATTGTGGGGCTTGGGGGCTGCTGCAAGCTGGAAGAATGGGAAAGTCACCTTCCCATCAAGGGAATTCAATTGGATTTCGCATTACACTGGTACCTCGGCTTAAGAACTTAATTCGTTCCAGAGGTCCGTTCTTAACCTGAAACTGTTCTTAACCTGAAGCACCACTTTAGCTAATGGGGCCTCCCGCTGCCGCCGCGCAGCTGCTGCGCAATTTCTGTTCTCATCCTGAAGCAAAGTTCTTAATCTGAGGTCCTATTTCTGGGTTAGCAGAGTCTGTAAACTGAAGCGTCTGTAACCCAAGGTACCACTGTATAGGTTTTCTGCACCAAATGAGTGTCTATTCAGGAGAACTCCTGGAGGGGAAAAAAATCAGGCTATTGCCACTTCTCTGCTACTGCAAAAAAGAACAGCAACAGGAAACACAGAAGAAGGTATTTCTTCAAACAGTGCATAGTTGTGTGTTGTTAGTTTTTTTTAAGGAAATTAGACAAATGAATGGAGGATAAGACTACTAGTGGGTACTACGGTAAGTCTGATTGCTATTCGTTGCTCAGTCCCGGCTCCTGCCCACCTAGCAGTTCAAAAGCACGTCAAAGTGCAAATAGATAAATAGGTACTGCTCCGGCGGGAAGGTAAACGGTGTTTCCGTGTGCGGCCCTGGTTCGCCAGAAGTGGCTTAGTCATGCTGGCCACATGACCCGGAAGCTGTATGCCGGCTCCCTCGGCCAGTAAAGTGACATGAGTGCCGCAACCCCAGAGTCATCTGCAACTGGACTTAATTGTCAGGGGTCCCTTTACCTTTACAACTAAATACCAGTTGCTGGAAACTGCAGGAGGGGACCTGCTGGGTTCAGGCCCTGCTTGCAGGCTTCCCACAGGTATCTGGTTGAACACTGGGAGAACAGGATGCTAGATTAGATGGGTCACCGGTCTGGCTCTCGTGTCCTTTAACATGGAAAACAAAACCTGAGAAAATCCTTTCTAAGGGATTTTCACATTTTTTTGTGCCACAAAATAATTTAACACAGCTTTTTAAAGTATTTAAGGACAGCACTGACATAGATGAAGGGGTTCAAAGTCTTTGCCATGAGTTGTGATTTTGGTCTTGGGAGATATTGTGGGATAGTTGTTCCGAGGATGAAGCACTGGAATAAATGTCCGTGATTGTAAAGTAATGGCAGTGTTTCAAGCTATTTATTCTAGACAGTATTTGCAAGATGTTCTAGAGTAATGCACTAAGTGGCTTGAAAGCACTTTTTAAAGCCCACTGCAATGTAAATGGGCTATAAGACGTTGGAAGCAGCATAACCATTTTAGTTGGCACGTAACCAGAATTATTTATAACATTTTATGCTAAAACATCATAACACTAAACCCAAATATAAAAATGTAACTATAAGCATCAGTAAATTACTTTCTGCACTGGACAAAAAAAAAAGAAGTTATGTTATACTCGCCTGAGTAGCTAGAAACTTTTTGCTTTATACCTTCTCCAGTTCTTTTCTGGTTTAGGTGACATTTAGCCCTTTCTCTACTTCTGCTCCAGATCCTTGCCTTGCCTTTTATTTTATTTTTTATTTCATAAAATTTATGCATTGCTTGATTGGAAAAAAACCCCCAACAACCTCAAAGCACTTCACAAATATATAAAACAAGAAAACAACCCTAGTTTAAAATGTAGAAAAGTTAAAATGCTAAAACAGATTAAAATCCCATCAACTTTCTAAGCATTTAGGTAAAAAGGTAAAGGTAAAGGTACCCCTGCCCGTACGGGCCAGTCTTGACAGACTCTAGGGTTGTGCGCCCATCTCACTCAAGAGGCCGGGGGCCAGCGCTGTCCGGAGACACTTCCGGGTCACGTGGCCAGCGCGACAAAGCTGCATCTGGCGAGCCAGCGCAGCACACGGAAACGCCGTTTACCTTCCCGCCAGTAAGCGGTCCCTATTTATCTACTTGCACCCGGGGGTGCTTTCGAACTGCTAGGTTGGCAGGCGCTGGGACCAAGCAACGGGAGCGCACCCCGCCGTGGGGATTCGAACCGCCGACCTTTCGATCGGCAAGCCCTAGGCGCTGAGGCTTTTACCCACAGCGCCACCCGCGTCCCATAAGCATTTAGGTAGACTTGTCTAAACAAGAATGCTTTTAGCAGGTGCTGAAAAGAGTACAGTGAAGGCACTGCATGATCTCAATAGGCTGGGAATTCCTAAGTGTTGGCACTGCCGCGCTAAATGACCAAGTTCTTACAAATGCAGAACAGGTATTATGTGGCACCTGTAGTACAGTGGTACCTCTGGATGCGAACGGGATCCATTCCAGAGCCCCGTTCGCATTCTGAAGGGAACACAACCCGCGTCTGTGTGGGTTGCGATTCGCCGCTTCTGCGCATGCGGTCATTTTGAGTGTCTGCACATGCGCGAGTGGCGAAACCCAGAAGTAACGTGTTCCGTTACTTCCAGGTCGCCACAGAGTGCAACCTGAAAACGCTCAACCCGAAGCTACTTTAACCCAAGGTATGACTATAGTGCCAATTCTGCCACTCAAAGCAGTAGAGTGGGCAAATGTGGGAGTAAGGCGTTCTCATAGGTAACCTGGTCACAAGTTGTTACCAATATTAACACCTTGACCTTGGCCTGATAACAAATTGACAACCAATGCAGATCTCTGAGCACAGGTGTTACACGCTGGCAATGCCTCACCCCTGTGAGCAACTGTGCTGCATTGTTCTGTACTAACTGCAGCTTCACATTTTCCTGAACTGCTTCCCAGTTTCATTCCTGGCCCTGTTGTTAGTTTCTGTACATGCTCCTGCTCCAACTAAGTTCTGGTTCCCAGTTCTCATACTTTGCTTTCCATGAACTCTCTCCATGCCTGTTGTCTTGTATCTGACACCAATGGAATGCAACATTCTTCCTTCTGCAGCCTCACCATTCATTCACTTCATTCAGCTTGGTCCTCTCACCTCAAGTCCTTTTGACCTCACTAATAAAAATTACAATGGGTTGCATACACAGGACGACTTCTACGAGTGCAGTGGAACTTCCCCTCCCTCTCATCCCCATCTGCTATGGGGGAGGACATTTCAGGGCATTTGCAAAAACTGTTCCATTCACACAATAAGTTGGATTCAGCCCAATATTCTGTTCCAGTTGGTCTCCTGGTTTAGAAAATCCTAGTTGCTTCTTGTGTATAGCCTGCATTGCAGGGGGTTGGACTAGATGACCCTTGGGTCCCTTCCAACTCTACAAGTCTATGATTCTAAGATTACGTATGTATTTATGACAAAAAAGCATTTTATCTTCATCTCTTTTCTTTTGACACTGAATTTTAGCAAACATATTCATTATACGTATTTAATATGTAGCCATCATCTTATTCAGTGTAAATTGAAATAAAGTCCAAAAGCCCCAAAGTAAAATGTGCAGTTCTGTGGGAATTATAACGATTTTTCTAGTGATAAAAGTACATCAACTAATCATCTTTCATTTTTTCACAGTTCTCCTCATCACAAAAGAAGCATGCTTTTGTAACAGTATGAGCATATCATGGTGAAAGTTTTATGCACAGAGTCTATCGCTAAACGACTCTGTTGAATTCAGAGGTTTCAACATTAGCTTAAGACAGACTTAAGGTTCCCTGTCCCAGGCATCTGACCTCCCCCTACAAATGATTAATATAACTTATCTGTGTTCTCACACCATTCAGCGCCAGCCCAAGACATTTTGCTGCCTGAGGCAGAACAGCAAATGGTGTATTCTCTCCACAAATCTAAGCGCATAGTATCCAAGGCCAGTCAATTTATTTTGGTACCAGAGGAAGAAAAGCACCTCTCCTCCGCCCTGGCAGTAAAAATGCAACAATAAACTAAATAACTAACAACATTCTGCCCTTTTGTGACCCGAAAAAGCTCCTACCTGGGCTTCACCCTGACACAACTGCAGTGAATGTCTCTCGACCCCAGTGAGCAGTGACCTATTTTGAGGGAGCAGAATCCAGGACACACCCGGCATAATTACGCAAAGACGCAAAGTAAGATTTTGGGTGTGCATGCCATTTTATGATGGGATGTTGTTTATATTTGAAATTTTGTTCTCGTTCTGTGATTTGTTAATTGTTTTATGTTTCAGAGAAAGAAGCTGCAATGCAGATTTTTAATTTCAATTAGTTCTACCAGGCAATGTAGGGATGAAGGAAAGAATAGGAGAAACTGGCTGTTTCTAGGGGGTGGTTGCCTGTTGCGGTTGGGTTTTCCCCACATAAAGCTGCCTTCAGACTTACAGGATTTATCCAGTCACCTATTATGTTAATAACTATGATGAGTACCAACTTGGAGATGTACTGCTCACAAAGGAAAGCTAAGAATGGATCACTTCATTCATAAATGTAAATGACAGATTCAGAATTTGGGAGAACATGCAACCGTAAACCTGTACAGATGGCATTAACAGATTTTGTTAATATTTTTACACAGCCTTTTAAGACAACAGGATAAGAGCTGTAGTGCATATGAGACTTTTCCAGCTCAGCCCACAAAGCACTGAATCCCAAATTAAGTCCTGCTCTGGGACTAATTCCTGACAGTGCATATGTAAACCCATTCCTTCCATAGGCATTCTTATATGCACACCTCCTCACAGATTTCCATACACTTCTCTTGCTTTCACAACCCTTTAATAAGCATAGACATTTTGTATGTTTTTATATTATTGAACATTTATGTTACCAATAGCTTCCTTTTCCTCCTGTTCAGCTTAAAGCTATAAAATTATATATCCTGCTCAAAGGAAAATAAAATAAGAACCAATATTTTTTCCCCCCTCAGATGGATGAACTAGTATTTCAATATGCAAATTGAAACCTATAACTGGGATCATTCTCCACAGAGTTGCTAATTCAGTGAGGGGCGGGTGAATGCATACCTGTACACATTGACTGTAAGGTCCTATGTTGGCAGGGGCCCAGTGAGAGATGCTCTGTACATGCAAAACCTGCTTCTGTTGACAAGGTGGCTCACCAGTCATCCCATCATACTTCTGTGCCAGGCAGTCCATCTGAAACAAAAGTCCTTCAGGCAAGGGGACTTCTACACAAACTCTGAAACCACAAGACAGGAAGGCAGTTATTTATTGGTGGCATTCATGCATCTTAATATATGACAGGATCTCTTCCCCCCCTCATACTTAGAACTATTGTTATTATTGTTATTATTATTATTGTTATTATTATTATTATTATTATTTGAATTTATATACCGCCCTATATCTGGGGGTCTCAGGGCAGTTCACAGAATAAAATCAAGATATAAAACCACAAAATACCTAATAAAAACAACAACCCAATAGCCCCATCCCCCCCAAAAGAACACATTTTAAAAGGGCATAGGATGAAAATCGGATCAACCTGGTTGAAAAGGAAAGTTTTTGCCTGGCGCCTAAAGGTGTATAATGAAGGCGCCAGGCGAACATCCCTGGGGAGAGCATTCCACAGATAGGGAGTCACTGCAGAGAAGGCCCGTTCTCGTGTTGCCACCCTCCGGACCTCTTGAGGAGGCAGCACACAAAGGAGAGCCTCAGAAAATGATCTCAGGGTCCGGGTAGATTCATATGGAAGGAGGCGGTCCTTGAGGTATTGCGGTCCTGAGCTGTTTAAGTCTTTATAGGTCAAAACCAGCACTTTGAATTGGGCCCAGAAACCAACTGGTAGCCAGTGCAGGCGTAACAGGATTGGTGTAATATGCTCAAACCGTCTTGCTCCGGTGAGCAACCTGGCCGCTGAATTCTGCAACAGCTGAAGTTTCCGAACCGTCTTCAGAGGCAGCTCTATGTATAACACATTGCAGACCGATATGGCTCCACGTTTTGAAGAGCCCTTGGGTAAGACATCATCATTGTTCCCACTGAGTGGGCCATCCTCTTATTCACCACTGTCACCTTTCTCTTTGGGTCCGATCTGTTCACCTGGCATATAGGGAGAGTGCAGATCAACTGGAGAGAGCTGCTCCTTCTCCTTGTTTACACGTTTGAAGAGAGCACACCAACAAGCAGTAACAGCAAGAAGGATGAGTAGAGGCAGGGCCAGGGGGCTCTGGGAATCAGTAGTAGGCCTCCTACTGACGAATGGACCTTGGAAGGTACCCAGTGATGCTGAAACCTGACACTAGCTCTGGTTCAGACACTAAGTTCTCTATACAGCCAGTAAAGAATCTCTTCATCGTGAAAGCTGACTGCTACAATTTATGGCAGTCTTCTGTCATAAGCAAGTAGGAGTGGCTACTGGACACCCCCCAAAACCTGCTCCAGAAGGTTGGGAAATGCTTTGGAACAGCAAGAGATCATCTGCAGGGTGGAGGTTCATTTGGAGAAAGCAGCTTCCCTCTTGTTCTGTTGAGCCTCCAAATGGAATAGAGCCTTCTGCCAATGGCAGAACATCACTGGATACAGCCCCCAGTACACACTGTGCTTTCTCATTCTTCCTTCATATTTAGGTGTTCTTGTTCTAGTTCACAGAGCTTCTATGAAACTGCCAAAACCCATACCTTTTCATACCATGCCTCTATAGAGAGGCCCTCCGAAGGAAGTTTTACTTCCCATCTTTGTTCTGGTTGTCCCAAGTACGTAGCTGTATTACTGAGGGCACTGGTAACAAGCCATGTGCTGTTACTTGGTTAACTTCAGTAAACACAGATTCCCAAAAAAAGTTTGACTTAGGACAGGCATGTCCAACGTCCGTTTCAGGGGCCTAATCTGGCCTGCCAGTTGGTTTAATCCAGCCCCTGTGGCAGTTTATTTCCTGGGGTAAAATCCTAAAAAAGAAACCTCAACAGTGTCAACCCTAAAAAAGCTGAATAACTTTGGGGTAAAATCATAACAAAAGCTCAACAACTTCAATCCTAAAAAAGGTCGGCCCCTTGGTCGGCCCTCGCGGCCCTTCACTTTATCGAATCTGGCCCTCTTTGAAAAAATGTTTGGACACCACTGACTTAGGACATTCCCCCCCAAAAGCTGGAAATGAATTCCTTTATGCCAACCACATTTCCAACATATTGGTTTAGGGAAGGTGTTTTTCATAGATGAGCTAATTTTATGGGCATATAAAGACACCAAAATACATTTGTGAGCATAGTTTCTCAACTATGCTGAGATTATATTTGTGTAGGATTATCCAAAATTTGGTTGTATTCAACTAAGTCATACTCATATCAGATCCACTGAAATAAATGCATCTAAGTTAGTTATGTCCATTAACTTTAATGGACCTACTCCAAGTAGGACTACTGTTGAACACCACCTCAAAATATCTAAGGGGCACCAGGTTGGGACGGGTGCTCTATAATATGTAGAAACTTATTTCCTTTATTTGTGGAACTCTTCTTAACTGATTATATACTGGGATAATACTGAGAATTATTATTATTATTATTTTCTAAGTTATGGAGCATGATATTAGTTAGGAACATTGGATATTTATCTCAAGAAAGTCACCAATGCAATGAGTTTCACAGAGATCCAATTAGTAGTAAAGCTATTACCAAGTGAGGGGAAATATATCTTATTAACTGGAATAAGTAATAAAGCCCTCAACAGGAAAAAAAAATCCTCAAGAATTTGCTTCTTATAAAATATTTTATGCAGCATTAAAAATATTTTAATTGTAGTGTCCTTATTTCATGAATGTTATATATTAAATTTTTTATTAAGAAACAGAAATGAAATACATTTGGATTCCAAATTAAGAGAAATGAGAAGGAAAACATGCTTGTTCTGAATCACGGTGAACTCCAGTATGGATACTGAATAGAAAGGCAAACCTAGAAACGGCAGTCATGGAAGAAGATTGGAAAAATATCCATTAAAACCTGCATGGGAAGACAGGTGAACAGTTGAGCGCCATATTTTTCCCCCACCCAGAAGAGCAGTCCCCTGATATCACTTTATAATCTGCTTTTAAAACTCTCCCAAGTCACAAAAATAGTTTGCAACATTGCCAGAGTTGATGTTCCTGGAAAAGAAGGAAAAAGCTCCCCTGCATGCATGTATTTTCATTAGGGGAGTGCATTGCTTCAGCTGCTGCAAAATATAGCTGCTCATGTCCTGGTGGGAGATAGGAGGCTAGTTCAACAAAACCAGTTCCACGGGTCACCAATGTCTTTCTCATCCCAGTTCAAAGTGCTGTTTGCAAAGCCTTAAATGGTTTCAGTCCAAGTCACCTGCAGGACCACCTTCATAGAATCACAGAATTCTACAGTTGGAAGGGACACCAAGGGTCATCTAAGCCAACCCCCTGCAATGCATTTCACCCCTATCAACCTGCCTGCATGCTAAGATTAGCAACAGAGGACCTTTTCACATGCTCACCTTCAAGAGAAGTCAGACTGCTAAGTATGGGGGAGGGAAGGAGGCCTTTGCCACAGTGGGCTCACATCTGGATCACATTATCCCAAGTCGCAAGGTGGTTAGATTGGTCTCAACTAGGGCCAGGGCCTTTTCAGTACTGGCCCCGACATGGTGGAATGCTCTGTCACAAGAGACTAGGGCCCTGCGGGACTTGACATCTTTCCACAGGGCCTGCAAGACAGAGCTGTTCCACCTCGCCTTTGGTTTGGACTCAGTCTGACCCTTATGTTTCCCTCCCCTTAGGGTTTTGATCTATGGGCTACTTTTAAAATGAGGCTACATTTTAAAATGCATTTTAACCTGTATTTTAAATTGCCCCCCCCCATTATGTTTTTACTGTAATTTTACTGGTGTTAGCTGCCCTGAGCCCGGCTCTGGCCGGGGAGGGTGAGGTATAATTTTTTTTTATTACTATTATTATTATCAGCAGCAGCAGGTATCCACCAAGCCTGTTCCACCATGGGGGGCATTCAGAAGAGCCCTGAAGATTCATTCATATTCACCAGTCTTCTTCTAAGGTGATTTCTCTGAAGTTACTTTACTCAAATACTTTTTTCGCTTGATGCTGTGTACTGCTGACTTATGTTCATTTATTTGAGGTTTTAATTGTATTGTATTGCATTTTATTAAGTAAGTCACCACGGGAGGCCTTTTTGCCCATAAAAGTATTTCAAATAAACTAACTGAAATGAACAATGTCACTCTAAATGCCTCAGCTGGACCACTCTATCCAATTTAATTCACTGTGCACTAAATAAGGTTGCTGTTAAACAGAAGAAACTCATATCACTCAAACCAGCTCCTTCTCCTTGAATACTTTGGGGAGTTCATTGGGAAGAGGAACTGGTTGTTAAGCCAGGCTAGGAATTGTAGCTCTGTGAGAGGAATAAAGGTAAAGGGACCCCTGACCGTTAGGTCCAGTCGCGGATGACTCTAGGGTTGCGGCGCTCATCTCGCTTTACTGGCCGAGGAAGCCAGCGTACAGCTTCCGGGTCATGTGGCCAGCAGGACTAAGCCACTTCTGGCGAACCAGAGCAGCACCCTTAAGGAGCTACCTTTCACAGGATTCTTCGAGGGGAGGGCCAGGACAATTAAAAGTGGTATAAAACTGCTTTAAATGTATAGTGCACATGGGGCCTAGGACCAGGAAGGCCTAGGTTCAAATCCCTAATAAGCCATGATATTCATCAAACAGTCCTGAGTCAGTCACCATCTCTCATCCTGTTACAGAGTTGCTGGGGGAGGGGGGGTGAAGGGATGGGGAAAACCATCTATACCACCTAGAGCTCCTTGAAGGAAAGTCAAGCTATAAATGTATTAAACAACCACAACAATGTTGTAATAAAATTGGTTGTTAGGTTTGGGAAGAGATGATTCCGTGGCAGAGGGTCTAAGCTCAAGGTGCAATGCACAGCTCTTCCAGAATAGTGGGTATAAACTTGGGGTGTGTACCTAAAAGACCTTAAGAGGAGGACATTCATGTGACAACTGTAAAGCAGCTGCTAAAACAGACATAGAAATAGGTGAAATGAAGTCCAGAAACGAAATATGACAAAAAGTGTCATAAATAAAGCAGTGTAGTAGCAATGAAGTATATTCCAGAGTATCATAAATATAAGGTAGCAGTAGTAAGAACCTACCTTGCTGGGGGACACAAATCAAATGCTGTCACATAGACTGAATTAATCACAGCAAAATCTTTCATGCTCTTCATATACAGATGGACCAAAATAATATCTGTCAATTCCAATCCCTTTGAATTCAGATGAGCTGCACGTGGAAAAACAATGCAGCCGTTAAAGGCGGGAGCAATTACATTTGTACCAGAATAATACGAGGAATACTTTTTTCAAAGTATTTCCCCAAGAAAAGCAAGCAATAACATATTAACATTCTCTTAGGCTGTCTGAGGTCAGTCACACATTACATAGAGGCAACTGTCACACAAAGGATGTTTAGAAAGTAACGAATTGTCTGATTTCACTTGTTTAAAAAACACCTTCACATGCTGTGTCATGGCATTGTTGTCTTTTCTGAAGTGAATTAAAAGGAACAATTTTCAAGCACTAGGAGTTGGATTCAATGAACCACAATTGGAAGGAAAACAGCCACCAGCACTATAGAGTTATGATTTTTACAGCGATATACTGTGTCCCACAACACGTGCAGTGTCTTCTGATTTAGTTTCACTTTTCTCAGAAAATGTGGAATTGCAGCTTTAGATCCAGCCCTAGCCTGTTAATCAGATGGCAGCATTTTCTCATTCAAGAACAAATATATTTGAAAATGAGCAAGAACGTAAGAAGAAGAAAAACGATCCAGAAAATATGTGCAAGTATATCAGAGGTGTTTGAGTTTAGCAGAGTTTCTCTGAATCGGGATGACTAAAGCTGCCTTCTAGCTCAATAATTCTGAACACATCGTTAGTTCCATGAGCAGCTCCTAACTAGGATGGTATTCTTGCGGAGTCATTTTGGGATCTAGCGGATCCTAGCCCAACTCAGTCCCACCGTCAGAATGGCCCTGTTTGGCAAGTGGAACAGGGAGCTCTGCACTAGTTATCTCCCGCTTGGACTACTGCAATGCACTCTACGTGGGGCTACCTTTGAAGGTGACCCGGAAACTACAACTAATCCAGAATGCAGTAGCTAGGCTGGTGACTGGGAACGGCCGCCGAAACCATATAACACCGGTCCTGAACGACCTACATTGGCTCCCAGTACGTTTCTGAGCACAATTCAAAGTGTTGGTGTTGACCTTTAAAGCCCTAAATGGCCTCGGCCCAGCATACCTGAAGGAGCGTCTCCACCCCCATCGTTCAGCCCGGACACTGAGATCCAGTGCTGAGGGCCTTCTGGCGGTTCCCTCATTGTGAGAAGTGAGGCTACAGGGAACCAGGCAGAGGGCCTTCTTGGTAGTGGCGCCCGCCCTGTGGAATGCCGTTCCATCAAATGTCAAAGAGAGAAACAACTACCTGACATTTAGAAGACATCTGAAGGCAGCCCTGTTCAGGGAAGTTTTTAATGTGTGACATTTTAATGTATTTTTAATCTTTGTTGGAAGCCGCCCAGAGTGGCTGGGGAAACCCAGACAGATGGGTGGGGTACAAATAATAAATTACTACAGTGGTGCCCCGCAAGACGAATGCCTCTCAAGACGAAATACCCGCTAGACGAAAGGGTTTTCCGTTTTTGAGTTGCTTCGCAAGACGATTTTCCCTATGGGCTTGCTTCGCAAGACGAAACCTCTTGCTAGTCTTGCGATTTCCCCCCCGCTCCCCCCCTTTTTCTAAGCCGCTAAGCCGCTAATAGCCTTTTAGCAGCTAAGCCGCTAAGCCTTTAATAGCCGCTAAACCGCTAATAGCGCTAATCCGCTTAGCCGCTAATAGGGTTGCTTCGCAAGACGAAAAAACCGCTAGACGAAGAGAATCGCGGAACGGATTCTTTTCGTCTTGCGAGGCACCACTGTATTACTATTACTATTACTATTACTCAGGGACAGGTGGTGGCATCACCCTGTGTATTGGTCAGGGTGGGTGGGTGTCTGGGGGATCAAACGGTTGGACTGCAGTCGAAGTTGCTGACTTCTGCCAATTCTAGATAGACATTTTAAGTGTTTGGGTCATAGAATACATGGGTGCATAAATTTATTTCTTTTAAAAAACCAGATATAGGCCTGAACACTCTGTGTAACTAACAAGCTTGTCACCTTAATCTTTGTGAGTTAGAACGACTGTGTGCATTTGTGCAGTCCATTAGTAGATTTCCATTCGGCAAAGTATGAACTCTCCCAGAAGGTATTAAAAGAGTTAGCTTTGTAGCAAGGCTTGTGCTTCCTTCACCTTCTCACCGGGATGCAGAGCAGGACAGAAGGGCAAGCAGACAGCAGGTATGGCTTTTCTAGGAAAAGGTTATAACACATACCTAAAGTGTCTCAGCAATGTTCTGGCAAAAAAAAACATGTGGAGGTTCCTTCAGCTGACAGGACCATAATTCATTCCGTGTCCCCACCCCCTGCTCAGAGAGCAAAATAAATAGCCACAGGAAATGCAAGCATTACCTGGGACCAAAACGCTAGTAGTTGGCCAGAAATGGAAAACAATACTTCAAATGTAAGTAACCTGCCAAAAACAGTAGGAACCTTAGCTTCTGGCCCAGAGGCACAACCACTACTTTTTGTCTAATTCTAATGAAAAGAAAAGCAAGGACGTATAATATTTGGATTGGCTGGGGTCCATGGAAATATAACAAGCAGCAAGCAAACATGATAGAGCCCCATTGCTTACATTTACATGTTATGCCGAAAAGATTTATGCAGAACTTTGCTGCCTTTACCTACAAGCCTGATTACAGCCTCCTTGCTGATTTCCAGGCTGTTAAGAACTAGCTTAAGGGTCCTTTAGAAAGCATGATGCCTTTGGGCTTTCAAAATTGCTAGCGCTTCTTTATCATTCTGTATTCAGTCATGAACTCAGCTGCACAAGCCAAATGTTAAGATTTTATGAGCTAATACATCAAAAGTATCCGTGAACAAGAATACAAGCTTGCCCATTGCCGCCTCAGAGAGCAATTTCCATTTTTATGAATGAAAAAGATGCCTGCATAAACATTTCTTTATTTAAAAGTGTAAAATGAGGAAAGATGCAGAACAAAATGGAAGCATTTTGTTTTATATGTCAATATCTTGTAAGGGTTTGATAGTAAGAAATCCAGCTACTACGATTCCCAAGATAGCAATTCTTTCCTTGCATTAAGTACATAAACGAGATTTAAAGCCACTGACCTAATCCTGGATGCCAAAATGTACCACAGCCACAGCTTTCTGGAGAACTCAATTTAAAATTATGGTGATAAAGGCAGTTTAGCAAGCAGAGAGCATACACAACACAGAGTGCATACAGCAAAATGAAAACAAATCCCACTGTCTTTTATAAATGACACAATGAAGAGCGGAGAGCCTGATTGCAAATGATTTTAAACGTGTTCACATATACTGACTCCATTCTGCAAACACCTGCTGCCAAGCCTTTAATGTTAAATACGACCGTTCTCACATTGTTCTTTTTCATAATGAGCAATCCTGAGATAGCTAACCAAACAAATCTGTAAACATTCGAAATAATCAACCAATTTTTTAAAAGAAAGAATTGATTAATCAATGCATTTCAAAACAATTTGATTAGAATTTGTAGCAGATATGAGAGAGAGTCATCCGTTCTCCTAAGCACATTCCTGCATCCTTCTTCAATTCTGGCAGTGGGGAGAACAGCAAAAGAGACTGAAAATTCCCAGGATAGTGAACTAGGTGACCAAACATGTGAGTGACCTGGCATGCTCAGATAGGGAGCGGCCAGCAGCCTAGATTCTTTGAGGAAACAAGACCCTTTCTTCTCTCTGGAAGGTCTGCTGCTTAGATTTATCTTGTTTACAAACAGCTGGCCCCACCCACTCATAGCAAAACAGACTACATACTCTCTATAGCACCTCCTTTGCTGCTGCTTAAGAGAGCCTGCAATGTATAAACAATTGGTGCTTCTAAATTTGCATTCAAACCATTACATCAACTCATCACCCCAATTATTGATAAGAAGTTGCAGCGCTAATTAAAGCAGATGTATTCTGCATGTTACATTGTATTATTTAAATCCCTAATAAACCACCTCGGAGAGACGAAAAGACATTCTTAGCCGATTCTTGCACGCTTCCTCCTTCCGATGCATTTAGGAGAGCATTGATGCCTGTTAGCCACTGGTAGCCCTGCGGAGACTTCACTGAGGTTTCAAGCGTCTTATCTGTAAAGATGTAAGTTTTAAAAGATGAGGTTGTAATGGCAAATGGTTTAGCCTTATGTAGTCTTTCCTATGAAAACAAGCTACAAGACTGGCTACTTTAAGGTTTTTACAACAAAAGCAGCCCTACATTCCCAATGTAATACTTATGACCCCTTGAAAGAAAAAAAGTGGATTATCACTTTGATGATGTCCAAATGTATATTTTATGATGTATAAAGCAATTCACAAACCAAACACTATACTCATATCCTTTTTACTAGGAACTAACACCCAGCAAACATACTTAGGATTGTTATACATATACAACACACTATTCTATTTATTTCAACCCAGAAGAATTGTCCAAATGAATAAATATCACACTATTTTAGGATGTTAAAGGTAAAGGTCAAGGGACGCCTGACCATTAGGTCCAGTCATGGCCGACTCTGGGGTTGCGGCGCTCATCTCGCTTTATTGGCGTACAGCTTCTGGGTCATGTGGCCAGCATGACTAAGCTGCTTCTGGTGAACCAGAGCAGCGCACGGAAACGCCATTTACCTTCCTGCCGGATCAGTACCTATTTATCTGCTTCCACTTGGACGTGCTTTCGAACTGCTAGGTTGGCAGGAGCAGGGACCGAGCAACAGGAGCTCACCCCCATCGCGGGGATTCGAACCGCCGACCTTCTGATCGGCAAGTCCTAGGCTCTGTGGTTTAACCCACAGCACCACCCGCGTCCCTCATTTTAGGATGTTACCATTTCCTAAATCATACTGCTATACTATTTGCATGGTGTGTATATATTTAAGTTCAGGTGCAACTGTCAAACGCACCATTACATACAAATGAATAAAGCCTATGAACTGGTTTTACATCAAACATAGAAAGCTCCCTTTCACAGTGTCAGACTGTTGGCCCATCTAGCTCTGCACTGTCTACACTGATTGGCAGTAGCTCTTGAGGGTTTCAGGCAGATAGTCTTTCCCAGACCAGCCAAGGATTGAACCTGGGATGTTTTGCATGCAAAGTATGTACTTGACCACTGAGTTAAGACCCTTCCCACAAGCAAATAAGTGATCCAACTAAAAGTTTGGAGCCAACTGAGCCCTAGAATGAATGGAAAACACTTTGGTTCCTTGTATGTCTCTGATTGCAACCTTCAATGGTAAGTCATGCCACAGCGACAAATTCCAGGCATTCTGGAAGCTGCTCTGACCCTCAGGGGCAGTTTTTCACAGAGGCTGCAACAGGAAAAATGAAGCAGTAAAACTGTATAATCAGAACTCCACTCCAAGATATTAGGGTCCAAGCCACAGCATCACTTGAGCTCTGAAAGTGCAGCTTCCTCCCGATTGAAGTGCAGAGTGTTTGCGGACAGGGACATTTGCAGGGAAACCAAAATGCTTATTTCCAAAGCTATTGCACTACCAACCTTACTGTATGCTTGTGAAACATGGACCACTTATAAACACCATCCAACTCCTTGAAAGATTCCATCAATGATGTCTCCAAAAAATTGTACACATCACTTGGGAAGACAGGCGAACTAATGCCAGTGTAGTGGAAGAAGCATAGATCACCAGTGTCAAAGCGATGATTCTTCAACATTGACTTTGTTGGACTGGTCATGTTGTGTGGATGCCTGATTTTCGTCTTCCAAAGCAACTACTGTATTCCAAACTTAAAAATGGTAAGCGTAATGCCGGTGGTCAACAAAAGAGGTTTGAAGACTCCCTCAAAGCAAATCTTAAAAAATGTAGTATAAACACCAAAAACTGGGAAACACTGGCCTGCAAGCGCTCCAATTGGAGAGAAGTCTTTACCAAAGGTGTCGTGGGTTTGAAGACACTTGAAGACAGGATGAAAGGGAGAAGTGTGCTAAGAGGAAGACATGCTTGGCAAACCCTCACTGTGATCAACACCCACCCGGAAACCTATGTCCCCGCTGTAGAAGTATGTGTGGATCCAGAATTGGCCTCCACAGTCAAAACCGTGTTTATGGAAGACAATCTTACTCGGCTACGAGTGATCACCAAAGAAAAAGAAGCAGCATTAACTTTTGTGCCTGCAAATCCTTACACATCCATCCATATGATGGCCAAACAGGCTGTAAAATTGAGCAAATATTTAGGATTATGTCTTCAAATTATTCATTAGCAACTCAATGTATTGAAAGTGAAGTGGGCTATTTGCAGAAGGTGGTGCATGAGATTCTGAATCAGAAGTATGGACTTGAAGTATGTTACAAAGAAAAACAAGAGCCCTGAACAGATCTGTTCCATTTCCCCAAGCATTACTCTATTACTCTTCCGTGCAGTACTTTATTGAAACAAATAGGACTTCTCAGAATAGAGTGCCTTTTTGTGGGATGGAGCTCTAATTCATGCAGATAAATAAGAGCTGCAGCCCTATAGCTCAAATTTAAAGAGGCATGGGCACATCATTTGGGAGGAGATCAACATTGGAAAGCTATAATAGTTATTAACACTAATGGGAATTATATGTATAAATCTCCCATGCATGCAGGAGAGAGTCATTAGAGTCCAAGAGTGAAAGCCTTGAACTTCCTTCTAAGAAAAATGCTGACATCCCTAATAAGATTCTGAAGGTAGGATGAAGGAAAACAAGAAGTCAAAAGACCTCTACTGACCAATCCCAAGTTGGTAAAACAACAACAACAACACACCAAAAACCAAAACATTCTGTTGGTATTGTTAAAAATAAAGCCTTCACTCACTTTATGATAAAATTACTTTACTAATTTACTCACTAATGCCAGGCCATTTGTGTATCATCCACATTGCACTGCAAACAGGCACTGTAATTATTTTTGCATTTAAAATGCAATGTAATTACGCAGTCTTAGAATTCATTTACTTCTGACCTCACTGCTAACATTTTTTTCTCTCTGCCTTCCATATACCTGCCAACTTATGATAGCATTCCAAGCATTTGCAAAGTGTTTTCTGGTCCACAAAAGTTTATGCCGCAATATATTTGTTAGTCATTATTTGCTTTTTATTGATTACATGCATATACTGGCCATGCAATTGAGTTACCTTTGTTTACAGACCATTAAAAATACAAAATACGCAAAATGTAAATGATAAACATTCAAACCAGTTATAAATAAATCAAGAAGGCCATAACCAACACAAAACCAGTAACTGAAAACAATTGAAACACAACATGAAACTAGTAAGGGGAATAACTTAGTGCAGAGATCCAGAAACACTAAAATAGATGTAGCATTATAATTAAGAACATAAGAAGAGCCTGGTGGATCAGGATAATGGCTCTCACAGCGACTGGACAATTACCTGTTACAGATAGGTAGCCGTGTTGGTCTGCCATAGTCAAAACAAATTTTTTTTCCTTCCAGTAGCACCTTAAAGACCAACTAAGTTAGTTCTTGGTATGAGCTTTCGTGTGCATGCACACTGTGTATCTGAAGAAGTGTGCATGCACACGAAAGCTCATGCCAAGAACTAACTTAGTTGGTCTTTAAGATGCTACTGGAAGGAATTTTTTTTTTGTTTGGACAATTACCTGTTAGAAACCGCAAGCAGGATTCGAGATCAAGAGCACTCTGTTTTCCTGCGGTTTCCAGCAACTTGTATTCAGAAGCACAACTGCCTCCAACTGTGGAGGCAGTGTATATAGCCACTGTGGCTAGCAGCCATCGATAGCCCTCTCCTCCATTAAAATGAAAAGGCCTGAAATAATGAAAAGCTGGCACCTAAAAAACCACAGAATGGGCACCTGGCAAGTTTCTGCAGGGTGGATATTCCATAAACAGAGTGTCACCACCGATAAAATCCCTTCCTTAATAATAATAATAATAATAATAATAATAATAATAATAATAATAATAATTTATTATTTATACCCCGCCCATCTGGCTGAGTCTCCCCAGCCACTCTGGGCGGCTCCCAATCATGTGTTAAAAACAGTACAGCATTAAATATTAAAAACTTCCCTGAACAGGGCTGCCTTCAGATGTCTTTTAAAGATAGGATAGCTGCTTATTTCCTTCACATCTGAAGGGAGGGTGCTCTACAAGGTGGGCGCCACTACCGAGAAGGCCCTCTGTCTGGTTCCCTGTAGCCTCACTTCTCGCAATGAGGGAACTGCCAGAAGGCCCTCGGTGCTGGATCTCAGTGTCCGGGCTGAACGATGGGGGTGGAGATGCTCCTTCAGGTATACTGGGCCGAGGCCGTTTAGGGCTTTAAAGGTCAACACCAGCACTTTGAATTGTGCTCGGAAACGTACTGGGAGCCAATGCAGATCTCTCAGGACCAGTGTTATGTGGTCCCGGCGGCCACTCCCAGTCACCAGTCTAGCTGCCGCATTCTGGATTAATTGCAGTTTCCGGGTCACCTTCAAAGGTAGCCCCACGTAGAGCGCAAAATACTTTCCTTGGTTGCCAGGAAAGTATTTAAGGTGCTACTAGGCTCTTTGTTGGTTCTGGTTTTTTTAAAAAAAGATATTTATTAAAATTTTCAAAATGTTACAAAAAGAAAAGGAAAAAATACAAAGTAAAAACAGTTAAAAACAATTCAATCTTTCCATATCTTATCTCTCATTTGCTTGTTCCCCAGACCTCCTCACACCTCCCTTTTTTGTATTCCAGTTCAATTAGTTGGTTCAGCAAATCCTTTCCCTCTTTGTTTTTATCCTAATCTTTAATCTTAATATATTATAACTTTAGATTATCACCTGTTAGGTTCTGATGGTACACACTAACATGGCTATCCCTTAAGGAAATTGTATGTATCCTTAATGACTGAGGAGAAGCAGAAAACTTACTGGACTTCACAGAAGTACATCCAGAAGTGTCCCAGATGATGCAAGCGGCTTCCTTTCGCTCATCTGACGTGGGCCGTGTGTTTTCTTCAAAGTGCTTTTCACAAGAGCAGCTCACAGCCAGGGCTTTGCTCAGAGGTTGCACCTGGTTGAAATAAATATTGCAGCACACATTACCTCAAAAGGAGAAGCCCTTGGACAAGCAAATCATCTTGAGGTAAAAGGAATGGAGCGCATTTTATTTCATTTTAGAGCAAGATGTGGAGGCAAGATGCTAATACCTGCTACTGAGACTGAGTTTCCACATATAGTTGCTAACACTTAAGTCCCCAGGAGATCAATGAGACTTGCACACATAAAACTGGATTGCAACCTTGGCGAACAGTGCAACGTAATGATTTAATTTACTTAGTACAATTAACGGAGAATCATTATATAGCTAAAGCAATGCAAATCAATAGTACACATGGGAACATTCGTCATGTTCACGGTAATGGAGACAAGAAAGCAACCTTAAATGCAACCTTAAAACACTCAAACTGCAGGTCTGTTTAATCTAAAATACCAAACTGTTTTGTGAAGTGACCAAAACAAGAACCCGCCTCTGTCTGATTCTTCTAGTGTGAATCAGGCTTTTTCCCTCACTCTAAGGAAGTGCTGCTAGCAAGATTCGGATCTTCACAACCTAACGAGTTATCCAGTACACAATACTGAAATTTACAGCATGGGTGGGGGAAATATAGATCATAGTCCACTAGCAAATATATGGTGACCTGCACAGTACCTGTCAGATGCTAGTTATTTCTACAAAGAATGGTGGACTAGATAGATCTCCAACCCAGCATGGCACATGCTCTAAAATAAGGGTACATATTTGGATTGAATAATTTAAGGGTCTACAGTTCGCCAAACAACTTTTTATATCTGAGAGATAAAGAACGACCATTCTTTTTACAATTATTGTTGCCTGATCATTAAGTGCAGAAGCCAAAAAAAACACGCAAGACCTCAAGTGCACCCAAAGTAGACTTTTATGTCTGAATTGCTTTAAAAACATATTGCTGTTTTTTACAGATTGTTTAATGAAGACTGAGGACTAGACTGAAAGACAGCGACTTCCTTAAGGTTCTGCATTGGAACTTGGGTTACTGAATCTTTCGCTGTTTTGCCCAAGTCCCTACCCAGTATGTCCACACTGGCTTTCCAAACTAAACAAGCAGAACACTAACTTTCATTCTAGCGGGGCTGTAGGCGTTTTGGAATGCCAGGATAAAAACCCAAATTAGAGAAAGTGCACCGTTTTTGGTCCTGTGGGCTGTAGTATTTGGGACAAGTGGCCATGTTCCCTTTATAAAAACTAAGGACTAAATTGCTCCAGCAGCATAGGAAATCCATCAGTGTCACTGCTGCCACCCGTGGAAATCTCTCGAACAGCATTAGGCCTAAGACACCTCATCAACTTTGGCATGTCTGTGCCAACACAGGTAGAGCTGCCAGATCCTCTGTACTCATTGCTCTCCTTCCAAGAACAAGGTCAATTTTTTCTTTCCCTTAAGAGACTTGCACACAAAGCAGGTCATGTGCAGAATGCCCATTAACAGTCTACTCCCCCCCCCCATGAAATATTTGTGTTTCTACCTGCACAGGACTAAGCAAATGCTTACAACGCCCTGACAATATGAAATGAATTCTTACATTCTCTCTTCAGGCCCTCAGCACTGTACAAAACGCTTCTGAGGAGTATTTCCTAATGAAGATTTATTATAGAAGGCCATGATTCGCCAATCATTTGCCCCATTGCTAGTCCGGGAACAGAGTGATATCTTGCCATAGCCCTCTTAATTTCCATTCACTTTCTGCCAAAACAGAAAAATGCAAGGCATTGTAGATGGTTCTCTTATATCCACACCTTTGGGTAAAATGGTGAGATGTGGTTGCAGGCACGCTGAGGATTGGGTCCCTGTAAACTTCTTGGAATAAAGAACCTGATTTTGCTACATGCCTCAAGTTTCATGTACACCTTAAAAAGAACAACCATAATTAGCAGCCGCAGTGTCTAACTTGTCAGAGATCTTCATTTCCTTGGCAGAGGAGGCTTGTTGTTACAAAAATCTAAAACTGACAGCGTTTCTCCCACTGAGCAGTTCTCTCAGAATAGAACAGAGCATAAAACTCTGAAGTTAGAAGGAAAAGGCTCTGATAATCTCTTTGCTTCTTGTTTTCTGCCTTGATCAGTTCTCCTGTTAAAACAACATTTTGAGGGAGACCACATGCAGCTTCGTGCACTGTGAACAGACATATGAGATAGATATTACTTGGGTGGGGAATAGACTTGCCATATCAAGTAGAGAACGAGTGAAAGATTTCTCTGTCTTTCAAAGGAAAGAAAGAACCGTGTGTGTGTGTGTGTGTAGCTTGTGTGTGTGTAGCTGCATTCATTTTAAGGAGAAAATGATGGGTTCATCTTTTGCCTGTTCCAAAAGAAAAGCATATAATGTCACACCTTTCCAAGCAAAAGAATTTCAAGATCAGTAAAGGCATATTTTCAGTTGGCACACATATGCCATTTATGAGATCCCCTATAAAGATGGTTATGGTGATATGAGAAATGCACCAACATCTCAGGAGTGTTAAGTACATTAAGAAAAATATCCCAGGCTGCCTGGAATCTCTCACTGATACCACATGAACCAAAGCAGAAGGTGGCATATGGCTCAAGGTCATGGTTTTAAACTACCTTGTGGAAACAGATGGAAATCCCCATTTCTTTTCTTTTTAAAAGCTTTTTACAAAGTGGTATTTAGAAGTTTTTTAAGTATTTTGATCCAGTGGGGATTAAGAGAATATTTCATGCTTTGAGAAACTGGGTGGACTTGTTTTAAGGAAAGATAAATCAAGTCTTATATGCAGGATTCTGCTTCTTTAGTCCATAAGACTTGTTTGTGTTTGCCAGGAACATTTTCTCCTATTACCACCAGGCATGCACGCATATATATATATATATATATATATATATATGAATGAATGAACATTCATGTATATCTATATTTATTAAACTGAAAGATATGCTTTGCAATTTACATAGAAATAAATGTTTTTTTCTGAATTAATTAAACGTTAATGAATCACATCTCCATCTTGAGATACACAATTAAGCACAACTTGCATATCAGAGGCCTTGATTCCAAGAGAAACCTCAGAAAATTATGTCCCTTCAAAGGTAATTCCCACCTCCCTATTTCTGCAGTTACTCAAGTAAGGGAAGGGGGGGGGGAGTCAATACAATCCATTTTCTGACCATTATTTTGTGTTGTGCTTCTTTATGCCTGAGCATGAAAATTTGCAGATTTCAAGTCACCATCTTTCGGTGTAGCAGGATAGCTCAACCAGTACAGCAAGAGACTCTTAATCTCAGGGTTGTGGGTTTGTGTCCTACGTTGGACACAAATATTTCTGCGCTGCAGAAGGTTGAACTAAAAAACTGACCCTCGGGGTCCCTTCCAACTTGACAATTCTATGATTCTATGATCCGCGTGCAGAGAATCAAATGAGATAAGAATTCAATGTCAGTCTTGGATATTTGAAAGTAGAGCTAAAAGAGGATGGGCATTTGTATAGCTGTGGCTTTTGCCACCCTCAAAAACTAGCCTCCCTTCCAGCAATTTTGGAGAACTACCCTGAGAAGGGCAAGTTTTCTTGTTGTTCTTTAGTCGTGTCCGACTCTTCATGACCCCATGGAACAGAGCACGCCAGGCACTCCTGTCTTCTACTGCCTCTCACAGTTTGCTCAAATTCATGCTGGTAGCTTCGAGAACACTGTCCAACCACCTCGTCCTCTGTCGTCCCCTTCTCCTTGTGCCCTCCATCTTTCCCAACATCAGGGTCTTTTCCAGGGAGTCTTCTCTTCTCATGAAGTGGCCAAAGTATTGGAGTCTCAGCTTCAGGATCTGTCCTTCCAGTGAGCACTCAGGGCTGATTTCCTTAAGAATGGATCGGTTTGATCTTCTTGCAGTCCATGTGACTCTCAAGGGTCTCCTCCAGCACCATAATTCAAAAGCATCAATTCTTTGGTGATCAGCCTTCTTTATGGTCCAGCTCTCACTTCCATACATCACAACTGGGAAAACCATAGCTTTAACTATACGGACATTTGTTGGCAAGGTGATGTCTCTGCTTTTTAAGATGCTGTCTAGCTTTGTCATTGCTTTTCTCCCAAGAAGCAGGCGTCTTTTAATTCCGTGGCTGCTGGAGAAGGGCAAGTATGTTCACCCATTCAAAATTAACATAGGAACACTACTTTCCCTCTCCTTGGCTGCACCATGTTATGATGCCATCATATTAATAATGCAATCTCTGACTGGATGTGATCACTTGAAGAGCTGATCACCTTGAAAGAACTAGCACAAAAGCAGCAGCAGAACTTAAGAGTTCACATTAATTCAGCTCCTGAACCATTTGTTGCCTCGTGTGTCTTTGTGCATTATGTGTTTTTACAGGAATGTGATAAAAGGGCAAAGCAAAGCTTAAGTTTGGTACCAGTTCATGTCCTTTCAGGGAACATGGGCCCTAATGATCAGCCATGGATTATTGACAGCGGGCATTATGAAATAGTTATCCTTGCAGCAGGGATTCTCTTTTTACTAAATAACGCTGATATTTCACTTGACAGAGCCAATTATGTGATTTCCCTCCTATTCTAGCACATAAGACTATGCCATAAATATTCCCAACAAAATTACATGGTTCCTCCTCCCCCATACTATTTACTTCAAAAATTAAAATGTTACAACAGGAATTCTATAGTTATATTCCTTGAGCAATAAGTGCTCCCCCCCAAAAAAAAGCAAGCAAAGGGGAATCAATCTGTAATTAAGGCCTACAGAGATTACAATAATATAAAGTGTGAAAAGCGGCAGTGACATAATACTTACACAAATGACTGTATTTTAAGGCGTCCTAAATGCACAGCTTATGCTGCTTTTAGACAGCAATTTTGATGTGGCTTATTTCTAGCTCAGGTAACAGAACTTTTTTATTATTACTTCAGTTAAACACAGGTATTTTGTTTGCTAAATCATATCAGAATGGTCCATATAATTGTCCCATCACCAGACGGTAAGCAAGCAAAGAGGGCTGTATGATTAT